CATGGAAGTATTTAGGGATATACAGGTGGAAAAGGAGGAGGAGGAGAGAGACCCGCTGTGGAAACTTTCAACAGTTGGTGACTCTGTGTGACCCTTTTGTCACATGGGGCAAAGAGAACAGGACAGGGCTCAGTCCCCTCCCTGGGTGACCAGCTTCCCAGGGAAGTCGGGGCCTCGCGGGGTGCTCCCGGTGGAAGCAAACTGAACTCTGCCTCTGCGGGGGCGAGGGTATGTCGGTGTCCGCTCCGGAAACTGAAGTAGCTCCAGTCATGTCCGTGTTTTCCTTCCGTCCCCGTGGCTCAGGCTGGCCGCGCCCCCTCACGTGACAAAACCGCTTTTCCTTAGAAGTGGCACTTGCTTGAAATCTAGGCATGGGAAAACGAAGTGAAAAACAATGCCCCATTTTGCCCTCCCTGCATTAACAAGCTAAACTTACTGCTTCTCACATTGTCCATGTCCCTTGTTAGTGACATTTATCTACCAACAGGCACTTGCTTATTGTTTTCAGATCACTTTTGCTGCGTGTCCTTAAAGTAATCCTGTAATTACAGGAATAGTTTCTTCGATTTATAAACAAACTAGAGCCTGCAGATATTATGTCTGTGTTTTAATTTGTAGTGAGGCCTGTTTTACAATGTATAGCTCATGAATCTCTACATATGTACTGCTTAGCCTTGTGGTGACATGAAGCTACAGCTTGAATTATGAGGAAGGCATTAACGATCTATACAAAGATGCTTTGGTAATTGATTTGTTCAAAAAGCACTTACGGAAAGCCTTCAACATGTCAGGCACTCTGTTAGTTACATGGAAATCAGATAGCTGTATGAATTAGACAAGGCAGCCAATCACAGATTCTTGACTCTGTTCTTATACAAAAACAAAAACAAAAAAAACACAAAAACACAAAGGCCACAAGTTCCAATGAGAACCGAGAATCGATGCCTCGTGATCATCACATCTGAGCACCCAGCCCACACAGATCTGACTGTTCGCTTTGGGTTCCCACGTGAAGCTAGAGTCGGAAGCCGGATGAACAGCCAACAGCCCTGCAACCCTGAACTAGGTGAAATGTGCTGAATCCCAGCCCTGGGCCATCCACGTTCAAGACACCACGAGACCTCGGGTCCCCAGCTCTTGGATTCTAAGTGTCGTGTCCTACGGAAGGGCTCCTTGGGAAAATGGTTGATCCCAGGTCCAAGGCTGGGAGGTACCAGCTATGCCTGGACATCACATTGTGCTAGAAAGCACAAACATGCTTTTCCCAAAATAGGAATGGTTCATAAAAAGAAAATTTAGAGGCAGAAAGTAGATTAGTGGTTGCTTGGGCAAGAGGGACCTTACTGGATGAAAACATTGTTAAACTAATTTATGGTCATGTTTAGAGATACTAAAAAGTATTGAATTGTATACTTGAAATGGATGAGTCATACATACATAAAATATACTTCAGTATATACAAAGCAACTTTCAAAAAGCCAGCATCACTGTTTTCAATCAGGATACTTGTCTCGAAGAGATGTAACAAACAAACCCATGGAAAACCTTGACTGCATCTCGGATTTTTAAAAAATCAGCTTTGAGCCCTGGCTGGCGTAGCTCAGTGGATTGAGTGCAGGCTGCAAACCAAAGAATCGCAAGTTCGATTCCCAGTCAGGGCACATGCCTGGGTTGCAGGCCACAGCCCCCAGCAACCGCACATGGATGTTTCTCTCTCTCTCTCTTTCTCCTTCCCTTCCCTCTCTAAAAATAAATAAGTAAAATCTTTTAAAAAAATACGACCTTAATATTTTAAAAAATCAGCTTTGAAAAAGAAACTTGGGGGACGTCAGGGGAGACTTTTGAGTGGACTCTAAGTTAGAGACACAACCAAATTATTGGTACATTGTCTTGGGTGTAAGAACGGTATTGTGATTATGTAGGAGAACTGCCTTAAGTTCCCAGGAAACACAGCTGAAGAAGTCAGGGGTGAGGCGTCTGAGGCCGGCCACTTACTTTTGAATGAATTAGGGAGATACACAGACAGACAGACAGACAGACAGATGTGTGAAGATAGAAAATGCACATGTGAAGCAATGGAAGGTATACAGGTGTGTTCACTGGACCATCCTTTCGTAGATTTAACAATTTCAAGATGAACTGTTGGGGTAAAATATTCCAAGGACCACATTTATTTGCTCTAGGGCAGGCCTTAAAGAATCTCTATTTAATGAGCACGCGGGTCATGCCAGTAAAACGACGCTGTTGCACTGTTTCCCCTTCCCTCCCTCGTTACCTCCGTGTGCCGGGCTTCCTGCCGCATCTGAGACGAGCCACGTGCCTTCTTCTCGCAGGACCTTTGCTCTTCCCCTCCAGCGCTTCCTCCTCCCTGGATTCTCTCACTACACCCCACACCTGCCCTTCAAGTGCTGACCAAAATGATCATGATTTGGGGAAGCATCCGCCCCACTGTCTTCCACAAACAACTGTAAGACGCAAGGGGGTGAAGTCTTGCCCATGATCACTTCCCTGGTCCTCCCATAGTGCCTCACACAGAGTAGGCACCCGATATTTTTAAGGGAATGAATGAATGGAATGAATGAATGGGTTTGTTTGATGGACCCACCAAGGTGCTATCAACTGCCACGAATCTCACTAGTGTTAGGAAGCACCACTTGACCTCAGAATGGGTTTGTGTCTAAGGAGCAGTTATTTTAAATTCAGGTCGGCTGATGTTCCCTGGAGGTCTCTGCCAGCCTGTTTCTCTGTATCTCCATGATGGACACAGGTTTGGGGGAAGGCAAAGAATCAAACAGAATGCACGTGCTGTGATTTAGGAGGGCAATACGTTAAGTGAGTCAAGGACAAGTCAGGAGACACCATGCAGAGGCTCATCTCAAGACTCACCAGGGCTTCCGGCACGTGGTACGTGTAGCAGGGCCGTGGGGCGGTAAGAAAGTGGCTTGTGATTGGTTTTCTTACTGTCAATCATTAAGGAGTGAACACTACCTTTTTCCTCTCCCAGGAGATTAGCCAGATATCTCAGATAATAAACTCCGGATTTTTATCTTCCTATGGGGGCAGTTAATAAGTGTTTGTGGAAGAAAGGGAAGGGAGAGTTGAGAGGGGAGAAAGGGTTGAGAGGGGAGAAAGAAAGGGAGTGGGGAGGAAGAAAAGAGAAAAAGAAAAAAAAAGAAAAGAGAAAAGAGAAGAGAAAAAAAGAAAAGAAAAAAAAAAGAAAAGAAGAGTAAATTGGAGTCCACTGCCAGGAAAACAATCCATAAACACAGGCTTTAGCTGTTGAAAGTGTATCCAGGGGATCAACTACACGGGAAAGAAGAACAGTGCAGGCTTTGTGCTGATCTGCTTGGGGAGGAGAATGGAGAATGAAGACAGTGGGTCCCCAGGACTGGGAACAGACATGGGGGATGGGCCCGAGTCATGCTTATCCAGAGGGTGTGGGGCGGCAGGACTACCCTGCAAGCCCTGCCTGTCGTGTGGCCTTCTCTGGGGATGGCACCTAGTAGCCTGTGCTTTAAAAACCCTCCACATAATTCTTAAGCACATTCGAGTTTGGAAAGCACTGGTCTGTAGCATTGTCCCACTGGGGTTTTTTAAGTTTGTGTGTGTGTGCATGTGTGTATACACATGTTCATATAAAAATCACATACACACTAACATAAATGTGCAAAAAATAATGTGCATTCTGTTCACAGAAATGTGTGAAGGACTGAGATGGCAAAGAGTAAATTATTATTTTTTTAATTTATAACTTCTTTTCTTAAGATTTTATTTATTTATTTTTAGAGAGGGGAGGGAGAGAGAAAGAGAGAGAGAGAGACATCAATGTGCGGTTGCTGGGGGCTGTGGCCTGCAACCCAGGCATGTGCCCTGACTGGGAATCGAACCTGTGATGCTTTGGTTCGCAGCCCACGCTCAATCCACTGAGCTAGCCAGCCAGGCTGCCCTGCTCCAAGCACCCTCTGCCCCGTCCCGCTGTTGCTGCTCTAAGTCACTTGTCGCGTCTGTCCCTCGCTCTTTAACCCGAGAGCTAGTTTGAAGTGTATGAACCTTGTACAGGAAAACAGTAGTCATTCCCTCATCACTTCGGCCAACAGGCCGATGAAGGGCAAAGGCAGCTGACAGCGACCCCACCCGCCCAGCAGTGGAGACCTCGGAACTCTCCTCAGGCCCTGCCAGCCCCACCGCCACCTCCTTTATTCCCCATGGGCCGCACTCCACTTGCTTTTCTGTCCCCCTAAAATGACGCCGTTGCTCAAACTACTTTTAGAAGTCCCTCTCCTGAAGCCCCCGGGGCAAGAAGGCTGCCCAAACCCTCTGTCGGTGTATGCCTCCAAACAGCCCCTCGGCGTCTTCTGCGGAAAGCATCCCTCTCAGAGCAGGATCCACGGTGGAGGTCTGAGCACCTGCCGCATCCGAAGTCAGAACTGCTGGGTCAGGCCAGAAAATTACTCTTTTTACACCAGGTTATGCAGCACGCCAGGTTATCCAGGCACATGATGAAGCTGAAGAACTTCTACTTTAAAGGTTTTTCTGTTAATTGCTTTGGAGAAACAGATAGCAAAACACTTCAAAAAGAAAAAAAAAAACAAAAGAAAACAAAAGATGGCCCTTTCCATCAGGGGTCAAGGATTTACTTTACATTAATGCTAAAAATGAACTGGAGCTCTTTTTCCAGGAATTATTTCCCACAGTCCTTTGCACAGTCGTAAAAGATCCTCATCAAGGTCAAAGGCAGGAGCAACCCCAAAATTCCGGTTCACTGCCCTATCACTTCAGCGTAGCCACAGACCCATTTCACAGCCCCCTCTATTCCCGAGAAACAATTTTAGAGACTTATTCAGATTCCCCCCAAGCGGCTCCACATGGTTGTTCCTCTTCCTACAGCGACTTGCCGAATTCCTATTTATAATTCACACTATGTAGAGAACATAAAACTCAGAAGCAGCGCTTGCCAACAGAAAACGCCCACCAAGAAAAACTCGCACAAGGAGTAGAACAAAGGTGAACGCTTGGTGTGTATTTACTCAGAAAACTAAACTTAAAAAATAAATCCAAACACAAAGAGCAAGACTAAAGAAAAAACCTGCACGGTTCAAGAGAGGATCACGATTGATCATAAGATAATTGCTGTCACCGCATACATACTATTTCTCACTGGTTACTTCACACGAGCTTTTGCACAGACGTGTGAGGTCCTCAGTGACCTGAGGCGAGGGCAATGAACTTCAGTGGCATCCGTACACCATCTCAGGCCACTAAACGACCTGCGTTCATTTCTGAAGTCTGTTGTTGCAAATTTATTCTAATCCTCTACTCCGCAGGAGCAAGAATACCTACTCCTCTTCTCTCAGGCCATTTTCATGGACTGTGGGTTCCCTCCCAATCTTCTCCAACATCCCTTCCAAGTGCAGGTACAGCCCCCACAGTGCAGACACAGCCATTACTGTCCAAGCCCGAGAGGGGCCAATGCCAAGGTCAAGTACTTCCATTTCCAGAAGAAAACGTATGAACACAGTCTTCGAATATACAGATCACAATGGAGTGTATGCTGAAGCACTTGAAACACATGTAAAGAGTGAGGGGAAAAAACTACAAGTGCAACTCCAATTAGGTTGGAGATGTGCTGGGCGTGAGAGCCTCGGCGCGGCAAGGTGAAGCTCACGGGGGCTGGGAGGGGGTGAGCGTAACCGGGAAAGGCTTGGCGACGGCAGCGGGGCCCTGGAAGACGCGCACCATGTGCACAGGCGGCGAAGGCACTGCGGACGCGGGCAGCAGCACGAACAGAGGCCCGGAGGCAGGAAGGAGCACAGCCTGCGGAAAGGTCAGCGGAGGCACGGCCACGGCTGCAGCCGGGCAGAGACTCCGGAGGGGGCCCGGCGACGGGGCTGAAGGGGGGCACCGGGGACTCGTGGGGACCAGCTTCCTCTCCTCGGGGTGCGACTTCTGATGCTGGACGAAGCTGCCGTACCACTTGAAGGCTTTCCCACACACCTTGCACCCGTACGGCCTCTCGCCGGTGTGAACCCTCTGATGCTGGATGGAGGCTATCTTCTGCGTGAACGCCTTGCCGCACTCCTTGCACCGGTAGGGCTTCTCCCCGGTGTGAATCCTCTGGTGGACGACGAAGAGCGACCTGCAGCCGAAGGCCTTCCAGCACTCCTGGCACGTGTAGAGCTTCTCCCCGGTGTGCAGCCGCTGGTGCTGCAGGTAGGCCGCGCTCCTGCGGAAGGCCTTGCCGCACTCCCTGCACTCGTAGGGCTTCTCCCCCGCGTGGATCCTCTGGTGCTGCGTCAAGGCCGTGTTGGAGCTCAGCCCTTTGCCGCACTGCTTACACTCGTAGGGCCCCGCCCCGGCGTGGTTCTTCTCGTGCACCGTGCAGTCGTAGCTGGACTTGAAGGCCTTGCCGCACTCCCTGCACTTGAAGGGCTTCTCCCCCGTGTGACTCATCTGGTGCCGAAGGAGCTTCGAGTTGTACCGGAAGAGCTTCCCGCACGCGCCGCAGCGGTAGAACTTCATGCCCCCTCGAAGGATCAGGTTCGGGTTCAGGCCGGAAGGCTGCCACGGGGCCTTGCTTCTAAAACCGAGGGGCTCGGGAATCTCTCCGGGAAGCCCTCCTCCCGGCCACCGCGGCCGCTCTGTCTCTGCGGGGGCTTCCCGCTTTACCGCTGGCTCGTCGTCGTCCTTGATGCGGGACTCGCCGCCTGATCGGAGAAACCGCACGGGTCTGAGTTACGGAGCTGCACGGGGAACAGGACCCAGAGGTTCTACTTCTCTTTTGTAGGATGTGATTTTTTAAAACACACCCAAGAGCACGCTCCTCGCCCCGGAAGCACGCCCACGCCTTTCCCTCCCCCCTCTCTGCCTCTCTCAGCACGCATCTCCTGAGTGCCGAGGGGCCCCACGGGACGTGCAGCCGGGGGAGCGGCGGGGAGCGGCAGCTCGTCCCAGGCTCACCCCTGAACCTGTCTCCAGGGCCCTCTTTGTTGCTTCTTCCATCCTAAGCCTTTCCTTGTTTCACTGTCCCCACCTTTAATAAACATCCCCTCAAAATCATAATAATTCAATCAATCCCTGAAATGCCTATAAGCATCCATAAAGGAGAGAGGAAAAGAAAAACAGTAACAGACAACTGAAGAAGCAATGACACTGGACACAGAGCGGGAGGGGCCTCCTGTGGGGGGGGGGGGCTGGGCAGGTGAAGTGGGCAGAAGGAGAACTTCAAGAATGGGAGGGGAGGAAGGCCGGAGGGGGTAAGGAGAGAACAGGAAAGGGCGGATAAGAGGGATCAGCAGAAATGGAAAATTTTCTAAAGAGAGAGACCCAGAAGAGGAGAAAGGCCAGTGAGATGGCCCAGACGTCAGGTCCCATGGAACAAGGGGCAGAGCAGGCTGGGAACACAAGCAGACAGACGAGGGAGCACAGTGCCCCCCCCAAGGGCCAGGAAAGCACCCCAAATTCTAAATTCCACCGAATGAATGGCCTCACGATTCCCTTTAGGAAGGCCCCACACAATACTCTGGGATAAGAGCTGCTTGCAGAGTCGGCTGGGACGGAGCGCCGGGCCACAGGGGGATGGCTGCTCAACAAACCGTTCCTTACAAAGTCACGCAAGGGTGAGCAGCGAGGCCTGGAACTGCCTTTCCGCAGGGAAGAAAACCGAGTAGCCCCCGGCTCCCAGGCCGGCAGGCACTCCCGGGGAGGCTGTCGGCTGTGTGCATGGGCCAGGTGCTGTGGGGCGGGCTGCTGGACGGGGCCAGTCCTTGCCTGCTCCTACGCAGCCCCATATACAACAAATACTATGGCGTAGGAGACTTTAAAATGCACAAAAAGGAAATTAAACCGAACCCCATAGCAGAGGCACAAAATAAATCAGTTTGACCCACAGAATCAAATTTTCCCTACAATATGACTGAAGCCCTACTCTGCCATAAAAATTGGCATAAAATTAAATGTTTCCACTGGTGAGAAATGAAGTGGTCTAGGAGCTCCAGGGTCACCGTTTTCTGTGGGAGGACGGCCATGTACGTGTGCAGAAAGGAGGTGGCCAAGCACCCCCAGGACTGGACTTTCCGGGCTCGGGGCTGGAAGTCAGGAGAGGTCAGGCTGCCCGGGGTGCCGCCACCGTATGGACAGCAGGAGGCCGTGTTTCCTGCTGCAGACGAAACATTGCCAGCAAACCGGGAAGGCAGACCCAGAAGCTGCCGCGCTCTCTCGCTCACCTGGACAGATGCAACTCCACACCTCTGCTGCCCAGGGGTCAGGGCCCCAGGGGGCTTCCCCTCTCTCCAGCTGGGCGATCAGAGCAGGTTTGGGGACCGGAAATGCAACTTCAGCAAGAAAAAAAGACAGGCAAGTTGAGGCAGAGATCCAGACCTGGTCCCGCTGGCCCACCGTGCAATGGGCCAGTTGGGGAGGGGAGAGAAATGGAGCCCCCAGGAGACCGGTGAGCCAGCCAGGGGTAATGAGGGAAGGCTCCAAACTGCCCCAAGGGCGTGACAGGGCGACAGCCCTTCTCAACTGGAGGAAATTTCACCGCTGCCCTGACAGAGGAGGAAGGAAATCCCCTCAGGAAGGCTGCAGGTACTGACACCCTGGGAGACGCCTCTGCAGAGGTGCAGCCCACAGCCCTAGGCCAAGGGTGGGGTGGAGGAAGGGCACCCGGGGCACCAGGAAGTCCTTCCCCTCAGGGCCCGAAAGCTCGCTCCTCCCTGGGATGGAAGGAAATCCAGTTTCAAAACGGAAGGGCACCAGGGACTTGCCCAGCCAGCACCTCCAGAGGCAGGCGACTGCAGAATGGCCCCTGCAGTCACCACACCGAAGGGCTACAAGACTCCCCAAACATCTGAGGAAGATGCCAAACTATCACCGAGAGCCACGGGGAGAGGCCTTACCCAGGGCAGCCACGTTTGCATACGTCTCCAGCATCACCTCCCGGTACAGGGCCCTCTGCGCGGGGTCCAGGCTGGCCCACTGATTCTGCGTGAAGTGCACGGCCACGTCCTCAAAGGTCACTGGCTCCTGAAATGGCAGGTCCCTACTCACGCTCTGAGTGCGGGGCAAAGGGAGGCAGCCTGCGCCGCAGGGCCCCAAACTCAGGGCCCTGGGGAAGGTCTGCTCTACCAAGAAGGGCACCCAGCACCCAGCCAGCGCCCTACCTCGGCCAGCGTTCCCATCTCCAAACACGGAGTCCCTACACTCACTCTCCCATCTGCTCCGCTCTGGGGCCCCAGCTGTCATCCTCACCCCACAGCCTGGCAGCTGGGGCTCTCTGCCTGGTGACTGCGTCGGCCCGTGTCCCTCTGGCACCTCCGACCTCATGCACTCCATGATCTGGTCACCTCGTTCTCTATACACCAGCCACGGCAGGCAGCTGCCACTCGCCCTGTCCCCACCCACCTAAAGTACACACATGGCCCCACCTGTTCCCCGTACCTGGCCTCTCCTCGGTCTTCCCCAACACCCTCCACTGTGTGCGGAGGAGCACCCCTCCAAAATGTCCCCAGCATTTTGCAAATTTCTTTTTATACCTTCTTGCTGTATCAGAAAGCTACCTCTAATCGAAGAAAACCTACAGCCTGCCTGGTCCACCTGACTGCCAGCAAGGTTGGCGGTGCCCGTCTTTGGGCACAGCCCCGTCCCACCTGTCAAGGTGTGTGCCCCTTCCCCTGGGCCATCTCCATCTTCCCAAGAGCAAAGGGGACTTGCTATTGCCTGTCTCCCCCACCAGAATGTAAGCCCACGAGGCAAGAGTTCTGTTTTGTTCGTAACTGGTTTACTAGCACACACTATACTGCCTGGCACATACTTGATGCCTCATATAAATATGCTGAAAGAATTAACTTCAAAAATGGTCTGACCACAAATGAGACTTGGTAAATTTACGAAGGGGATCAGAAAACAACAGCAAACACCACTTTGACAGGAAAACGCCAGAGCACATCCATTCCAGTTGGTGGCAGAGGGCCCACCACGAGCCGAGTCCCACTTTCCGTGAAAGGCTGGAAAGCAGCACATGGGGAAGGAAAAAACACAAATACCTCCGCTTTGTGGATGAAACGATTACCGTCGCCCCCTCGGTATCCGCAGGGAAGTGGTTCCAGGACCCCCCACGGGCACCAAAATCCAAGGATGCTCAAGTCCCTAACATAAAGTGGCACCATATTTGCATGTAACCCATCCATACGCTCCGATATACTTAAAACCACCCCCAGACCAGTTATAACACCTGACACAATCTAACACTATGGAAATAGTGGCTCTACAGTTTTGTTAGGGAATAACGATAATAAGAAAAGCCTGTACATGTTCAGTACAGGGGCAGCCAGCGCAGGCCTACACACATAGCACACGTCAGCAACAACGTAACTTTTCCTTCAAATGTTTTTGATCCCTGGTTGACTGAAGATGCAGATGAGAGACCCACCAATACAGAGCTGACGGTATCTGCCTAAAAATACCCAGAGCCAAGAGATTGAATGAAAAACATTTAAAACTGACAAAACAATGTGTTGTTAGCTAGATACAGGATAAATAAACCAAAATCATTAGCTCTCCTAAATACCATCACAAATAAATTAGAAGATAAAATGGGAGAAAACAAGATGCCATTGATATAAAAATAGCTAAGAATATACCTAACAAAAATGTTTAAGACCAGGATGAAGAAAACTGAATGTTTATTAAAATAAATAAAAGAATGAAATATAGTGGGACATACAGTGTTTCTGAATGAGAAGAATCAAGTTTGTAAAGTGAATTTCTCTCAATTTTGCCTATGAATTCGATAGAATCCACTCCCCCAACAAAAGAATCAGTGAGATTCGTGCAGGGGTTGGGGATCATTTTAAAGCAGGGGTTCTACCCTTTCGGCGTCTTGGCGCCACCCTGGAAGAAGAGTTGTCTTGGACCACACATTAATACATTGCCACAGGTAATCACAAAAAAAATCTCATAATGTTTTAAGTAAATTTATGATTCTGTGTTGGGCTACATTCACAGCCATCCTGAGCCACATGATGACCGCAGGCCACAGGTTGGACACCCCTGATTTAAAGCCATCTGAACCCTGGCCAGGTGGCTCAGCGGGTTGGAGCGTCACCCTGTAGACCAAAAGGTCACGGTTTGATCCCCAGTTGGAGTGCGTACAGGAGGCAACCAATTGATGTTTCTCTCTCACCTTCACCTCTTTCTCTCTCTCCCTCTCACTCTCTTTCCCCACCTCCCCTTTCTCTCTAATCAACATCCTTGAAAGATGATTTTTTAAAAAAGCCATCTGAAAAAGAAAGTGTGAGAGACTAGCTGAGAATATTTTGAAGAAAAAGAATTTTTGAAAGAAATGACAAGGGGAGATTAAACTGTACTTAATAGGACACTTTGAGAAATGAGAAGACAAGCCACAGACAGAGACAAAATATTTGGGGAAAAAAGGTTTGATAAAGGACTGCTATCCAAAGTATACAAAAAACTTCTAAAACTCAACAATAAGAAAGTGAACAACTCAATTAAAAAATGGGCAAAATACCTGAACAGATACCTCACTAAAGAAGACATACAGATGGCAAATGGGTATGTGAAAAGACTTAACATCGTATGTCACCTGGGAGATGCAAATTAAAACAATGAGATGCCACTGACGCACCTATCAGAACAGCCAGACCCAGAACACGGACACCCAGTGCTGGCGGAGCACGCGGGGCGACAGGAACTCGGTGCTGGTGGGAACGCAAACTGGTTTGGCGGTTTCTCACAAAACTAAACGTGCCCTTACCATGTGAGCCAGCAGTCCCGCTCCTTGGTGATCTTCCCAAACGAGCTGAAAACTTATGTCCACACAAAAACCTGCACACAGATGGTCACAGCAGCTGTGTGCATCACGGCCAACACTCGGAAGCAGCCGCAACGCCCCTAGCAGGTAAACAGATAAACACGCTGTGGTCCCTCCAGACAAGGGAACATCACTCAGCACCAAAAACTAAGCTATTGCCCTGCTGGGTGGCTCAGGTGGTTGGAACATTGTCCCTTACGGGAGGCGATCGATGTCTCTCTCTCTCTCTCTCTCTCAAATTAATAAACATATCCCTGGGTGAGGATTAAAAAATAATAAATAAATAAATAAATAAATAAGCAAGCAAGCAGGCTATCAAGCCATGAAAAGTCACAGAGGAACCTTAAATACGACAGTGAAAGAAACCCATCTGAAAAGGCTACACTGTATAATTCCAAGTACATGGCATTCGGAAAAGGGCAAGACTATGTACTGATACAGGGTGAAAAAGACCCACAGCTGCCCGGGAGCGGGGGAGGGACACACAGGCACAGCCCAGAGGGCTTTCGGGGCTGTGACAATACTCTGTGGGATACAATAGTACTACTCTGTATGACGCTGTCATGGAGGAGACATGTCACCATACGTCTGAAACCCACAGGAAATACAGCTGTGGACTCCGGGTCATGCAGGTGTTCAGTTGTAACTAAGGTACCACTCTGGTGGGGGGGTGATTATCATGCAGGGATGGAGCCAGCAAGCACATGGAAACTGCTTTTTCTGCTCAACACTTCTGTGAACCTACAACTTTTCTAAAAAGATGAAGTTGACTTAAAAAAAAAAGGGGGGACAACACTTAATCTCCTACCTGGTCTGCAAATAGGTACCTAAGTAACACCTTGCACAAACAACTCACCACGAAGAAATGGAAAACCTTTTCAACAGATAAATCTAACCATGTCACCTCCCCTGCTTAAAATACATCAGTGCCTTCCAAATGGACCCAGAGTAGAAACCGAAGTCTCCACAGTGACCTTCTCCCACCTCACACTGAACGACTTTCTGACCTCTCCCTGTTCCTGATGAACACTCTGATCTCTCCCCCACTTCAGGGGCTTTCCATCTGCTGTCCTTCTCTCTGGAAAGTTGTCTCTTCTGTAGTTCCCAAGACCGTTTTTCTATCTCATCCTCCACGTGAGGTCCCAAACTCAAGATACCACCTCTGTGAGGCCTCCCCTGATCATCACCTTCAGAGGTGGCTTCATTGAGGTTTCTCAAATTGGAGGTTTACCAGAATCAAACTGGGGAGCTTTTACAACTGATTCCCAACCCCAGGCAGCCTCCTCCTCAGTCTGAGTGAGTCTAGGGTAGGACCCAAAAATTTGCAATTCTAATGAACTCCCAGGTACCGCCCAGTGGCTCACACTCTAGAGCTCTGTAGGTTAGCAACATGCGATTATGGTATTAACTTGCGTATTTGTTTGCAGACTACTTTGCTAATGAGAAAAGGGAATTTGTCTGCATTATTCAATACCATGCACCTAGCGTTTAGAAAGTGTATGAACAGTGCCAGTCTCTGTGGGACACGTCTCCAGTTTGTGGGGCAATCTCTCTAATGAAAAATTACTCTGATTTCGGCAGGTGACTCTCCTTTGTAGCACATGATCTAGATGTCCACAGTAAGGGAGAATTTCTTGGCTCGGGTCCCCCTTCTACACTTAACCCTACACACCCAAATGCATCTCTATACACAAAACTCTTATTTCCTCCACCACGTATTCACAGCCATCGCTCTGAGGATGGACTCAAGGAGAAAACCAGAACCTGGCCACGTTAGGCCTTCTTGGTCCTTTCCCGATCAACCGACAGCCAATGCGATTTTTAAAAGTCGGAGAGGAAGCTCTCAGCTCACCTGAGGCCAAGTCGTTTGGAGCATGGCTGATGTCCCCTGGCTTCGTGCACTGTCTTCAGCGCTTGGAAAAGCAAGAACCTTAGAAGCTAAGAGAGGAAGAGCCATGAGCGCAAGGAGCTCAGTCCTGCACCACCCCCAGTCGCCTAGGGCCTTCCCAGGCTCCTCATTGCCGGCCCTGGTGGGAGACTCTACCAGGCAGGTCAACGCGTGCTCAGCGCCCCACCTCCCCAAGCACTGCTCCGCCTGGGCCTCAGGGCAACCCCCACATCTGCACACCAGGCGGACTGAGACATCCCTGCCCCTAGTGTTGGGTCCAAACAAACCTTAAAAAGCTCTTATAGGGACCATGACATTAAGGCCCCCAAGAAAGATGTCTGTGGAGAGGAGGGACGTGGGTGGCTGGCTGCGGATTAGGAGTAAACTAGTGTTCCGGTGGGTGATGCCGACCGAGACCCCTCCTGGATCTCCACCCAGGGAAGCAGAGGAACCCAAGCACGGAAACGTCAGCACCCTGTGCAGGAGGCCGTCACGCTAATTCTGTACGGTGGGAAAGAGGATCCCGCTTCCGTGGGCAGGGGGCCGGGCCAGGGCTCTGGAAGTCCGCGCAGCCACCGCGGGCGGCCTCCGCGAGGCCCGGACGCCAGAGCCCCAGGTCAGGGAGGGACGAGCCACCACGGGGACCGAGTGCAGGGGCGGGAGTGCTGACGACGCGCCGGGGAAGGCGAAGTTGCCGGCACGGAGCGGACCTGGCACGTAGAAGCCGCTGGAAACCTCACTCTTCCACTCGGACCCCAGAAAAGCTGGTAGCTAAAAAAACGACGCGGAAGTGCGCGCGCGCGCCCAGCGCCCCTCTAGGCCGCTCGGAGGCCGCCCACCTCGGTGGTCCCCGCGCCGACCCCACGTGACTGGGGCCCGCCCTGCGGAAGGGGTGGGGTTGTGGGCGGGTCCTTGCCTGAGCTGTCACGGGGTGGGGCGGGTCCCTCTGCCAGATGCAGGGGTTGGAACCAGTTCGGGACTGGAGTGTCACGACCCTGATACAACCTCGCTCCACTCAGACCTCGACCTCTAGGCACAGGTGGGGCCACAGGTAATAGACTGCCCCATCAGCGGTCGGCCATTACTCCGAGGGTCACCTGGGCTGTGCAGGTGTGGGGAGAATGGCTCCTGCTCGTGTCATCTCTTAGATGCCCAAGCCAAGGATCCTGCTTGGGTCCTAGGCGGGGCAGCCCTTAGGAAAACCATGATTCCCACCTGCCTTTATACAGCTTCCTCCTTGTTAGGACCTGTATGTGTGGGGACCTTTTAAGGCAGGTCCATTAACAACCAAATAATGGTGACTAAGGTTGCCAGGAGTCCTGTGTGTACAGGACATGCCCTATGTTAAATGGTTTAGTCCGGTTTTGACGCTGGCAGGATGCCCTAAATGCCCTCTGTTTGGCTTTTTCCAATAAATTCCGGGAGGAAAATCTGTAATTTACAGCTTTTTGTGGAGGGGGGTGGGGGTCGCTGGCACTAAAATAACTTAAATGTCAACACTGGCTGAACAAAATGTCATGAACAAGTAAAGATCTGGATAATCTCTTACAGTGTCTCCTGGAGGTTTAGGTGATAGAAGGGAAAAAAAGAGAAAACATTAAAAGTACTTTTTTTATATTCAAGAAGGGGAAAGACTGTTTTTGGTCAAAGTCCCAAGCCACGAACAAATAACTTCCTTAAATTTACATAACTTCGGATCAGAATGCATGCTCTGAAAACCAGTGAGTGACAACCTCGCTTAGGTGACCCCCGGTAACTCTCCTTCTGCAAGTTAGCAAGTCAATAGCAACCTCAAGGTTCTGAATGTGAGCCAATCAGTGGCAAATGCCCTTGAAAGTCAGCCAATCGGTGATAGCCCCACCCACTAGCCAACAGCCAATTAGCTAGTGCCTCACTACAGTGACCACGCTTCTGAAAATGACCAGCGTCAAGAGTAGCCAGCCTTACTCCAGTGATGGCTTCTGGCCCGTGTGGTCGTCAACGTGAATAGATTTTGATCTGAAATGTCCACTGAACACGCTTCCAGATTCAGGGCTCCTACTCTCCAACCACTTCAGAGCTATACAGGGAAACTGGCCTCGCACTGCTAGAAGACAGTATGACCCCGGATGTCTGGTTCTATCACAGGAGTTTGGTACTCCTTTGACAGGAATTAGACGTAGTCACTGATCAACTATAGCATAAAGAGTCCATATACCTATGGGCTCTTCCTATCATGAAGAATCCATTAGGTCTCTATAGCTGCATAACAAATCACCCCAAAACTTTGTGGCTGAAAACAAAACACATTTATTATCTCTCCAAGTTTTTTGGAGAATCGGGAACTCAGGAGTGGCTTGGCTGGGTGGTACTGGCTTGGGATCACTCATGAACTTTCATCAGGTGTCACCTGGGACTGCACTCATCTGAAAGCTTGCCTGAGGCCCAAGGATCTGCCTCCAAGGAACTCACTGTCATCATGGCTGGCAGCTTGGTACTGGTTATTGGTGAGACTTTGGTCTCTTCCCACATGGGTATGTGATGACATTGCTGAGGGTCCTCACAACATGGCAATAGGCTTCCACCCAAGGGAAGCAATCCAAGAGGCCTGGCACACTGCAATGTCGCTTATGTTTGGAAGTAGTGCACCATAATCACCTCAATACACACTCCTCGAAGTCCAGTCACGTTCAGTGTTGGATGAGAATCAGTGGGGACCAGAGTGGAGGCTGCCTAACACACAGATTTGGCCCACCACAGAAGGTCCATTTCCTAAAACCTGGGGTATTGTAAAGTTTATGCAAAAACGATCATTTTAACTAGAATTAGGTTTCCAGAGACAATAGCATGGTAAGGACTTACATTTGCAAACTGCCTTTTCTCTAAATGTATCAAAAATAAACATCTATCATGAGTCTAGAGAGATGGGCACACACATATGGGTGCACATGTCCACACACACACACACACACATATGCCACAAACCCTAAAGAGTTGCAGCCTGTTATTACCATTAGGACTAACTAGAAGAACAAAATTGGACAGGCACCTCCTATATTTGATATTATAGTGCAGGGAGGAATCCGAAAGCTTTGATAGGCCTAAATTAAAATCCCAAATTGAGAGGGTGACTGGAATCCTGGGCAGTCAGAAAAGAAAACTGGAAACATGCTACAAGCGACCCACTGTTTCCCAGAACAGCCACATCAGAGGGATGGAATACAGGTAGCACTGACCCAGAGGCAGCTCCAGGGCAAGGTGAATCAGGAGAGATGGGAACTGTAGTCTTTGCGCCTGTCAAGGATTCTCCCCACATATCAGAAAATTAAAGTCTGGAACTGGATGTCCCTCCCCTGGCCAATGGCAGAGAGGTTGGCTCTTTGTAAAATACTGTCCCCAACCACTAGCCAGTGCAATAAGTCAAGAAAAAGAAAATGCATCCAAAATTGGAAAGAAGTAAAATGGCTGTTATTTGTGAATACAAAAACCTATAGAACCTACAAATGTTACTACAACTAATGTAAGGTTGCAGGCTATAAGATCAAAATACAAAAATTAATTCTATTTCTATATACTATTAATGAAAACTGGAAACTTACTATTTATCATAGCATCAAAAATATGAAATATTTAAACACAAGTCTGAGGAAAGGCATAAATGACCTAGTGAGTAAACATTATAAAACATTGCTAAAAGAAATTAAGATCTAAATAAATGAATTCATTTACAATGTTCGTGAGCGAAAAGCCTCTGTATAGTTACAATGTCTATTATTCCAAAATTGATCTATAGATTCAATACAATTTCAATCAAAATCCCAGGATGTGTTTTGTAGAGACTGACAAGTTGATTCTAAAATTCATACGGAAATGCGAAGAACTTAGAATGGCCAAAACAACTTTGACAAAAAAAAACAACAAAAAAAATAGAGTAGAATGACTGACACTGCATGACTTCAACACTCAGAAGAACTAGTAGAAAAGGCAGCGTGTGAATGGCGTCCAGACAGACACATAGATCGGTGCAGCAGAATGGACTCAGTGGCAGGCCCACACGGACACGGACAACCAATTTGTGACAATGGTGACACAGAAACTCGGAGGAGAAGGGACCTGTTTTCAGACAACAGTGTGACAACAGGTCAGCCATTTAAGAAGGCAGGGCAGGAGGGAGGGGAGAAATAACTTAGGTCCATTCTCCACACCCTGTACAAAATTTAACTCAAAATAGATGATGGATCTAAATGTAAATTTTTAAAACTGTAAAACCTTCTGGCAAGAAAAATAGGAAAAAGCCTTTATAAACTTGGGTAGGGCAAAGGTTTCTTAAATGTGATACTAAAAACACAATCCGTAAAAGAACAAACTGATACACTGGAACCATCGTGCTGGCCACACATCGACATTAAGATCTGCTCTTCCAAAGCTACTATTAAGAGAATGAAAAGACAAGTCACAAGTTGGGAGAAAATATCTGAAAATCTTATCTATGAAAGAGGACTTTTATCTATCGTATATAAAGATCTCTCATAGATCAATAAAAAGAAAACCCAGTTAAAACATAGGCAGAATCGATGAATGCTTTAGCAAAGAAGCCATAATGAAAGGCAGCTAAGCCTTTCAGACAACATACTCAATGTCATTCATCATTAGGGGAATGCAAATCAAAAGCTCAATAAGATAGCATTATACACTTATTAGAATAATTAAAATGAAAAAGAATGACACGATCAAGTGTAGGCAAAGATGTGTGAGGAGTGGAACTCTCCTGCAATGCTGGTGGGAATGTAAGATGGCACCGTTTCTTCATAAGACAGTTTTGAAGATTCTGAAAAAGCTAAGTATACATCTATCTTCTGACCTGGCCGTTCCGCTCCAGGCACTTACCAAGATAAACACACACACAAACTTACAAATACTTGAACACAAGTGTTCACAGCACTTTTATCTGTAACAGCCAGAAGCTGTAAACAACCCAAATGGCCACCAAGCAGTGAACGGACACATTATGACACATCCATAGTGCACTACAACTCAGTATGCTACATGGGTGAATCTCAGAATAACTTTGATGAGTGAAAAACACTGGACTCAAGAGAAAGGTACATACAGTGTGGTGGCATTTACATAAAATCCTAGAAAGGAATGCGAAGTGACAGAAAGCAAACAGTGGTTACCTGCGGGGAGCCGGGAGGAAGGAACGCAAGGGGCATCAGCAAAGTTCTGGGGGCGGGGCTGTTTGTTCCTCGTGGTGACTGTTACACTGGTGTACACATAAGTCAAAACTCACCAATGACATCACAATAAATAGCATTTAGTTTATTATGCTCGTTACTGTTCTAAGCACGTCTACGTGTATCAGTGCAGTTAATCCTCGACACAAACCTATGAGGTAGATTGTCATCCCTACTTTATTGGTAAGGAAATTAATACAGAATTTCTGTAACTTCACTCTCTGCTTCCTGCAGTGGGCAGTCAAGCTGTCTGCAAAAGTGGTAGCTAATTCCATGACTAAAAAATAATAATAACTAGATGAAGTGGCAAGAAATGTTGCCTGCTGGAAGGTCACTTGGAACAGCAATGAGATGGATACATTTAAGACAAAGCACGCCTTGCACCGGATTCAGGGCACGTGCAGCCCAACCTCTGCACAGGCACAGGCTACAGCGGAGTAGCCAAGAGCGAATTCGGAGTAAGAAGCAGTGTG